GCGATTAAACAGTAGAGCTCGTGGCCTCGTGGAGTTAAATCATCGCCAAATCAGCGTTACTGCGATAGCGTTTAGTCTTATAGCTTGTGCTCGTTTTTGAAATAAAATATGATACTGTATAAAAGTAATTAATCAATTAATCTCCAATAAATTCTCGTATTCACCATTTTGAAATGTCCTAGTAACCCGCAATAACATTATATTATGTTGTCTACGCGTTTTGTGTGAATGATAAATCGTATATTATCATCGAGGACGAGGAGGAAAAATGTAAACCGTAATAGTTTTATTACAATCGCGTGTCAATTGTAACACAACAGATACGTATATTTTAATGATTCATAGTGCAATATAATATTATGTATAGTTGAAAGGTTTATTCGTTAAATGTCTGATGAATGATGATAAATTATTACAACCTAATGTTAATTATTCACAGGTACATAATTAGGTTAGATAATAAATATATCATATGGTACCCGGTATAGTAATGTTATGAATTCTAATAACTGCTTGTTTTTATTACATTTTGTACAATGTGAAACGGTCATCTATTTTATTTTTTTACATTTTTTATGAGAAACATAATTTGTATATGATGATTATTTATATTAACAACTAACTATACGATTGAAATTTCAGAACAATCAATGCATACATAAGAAATGTGTAATATTTTTATACAGACATAATATTTTAAATACACATGAAGAATAAATTAATCGTCGTCGTTAATTTATAAATACATATATGTATATAAGGAATGTACAATCGTTGAATTATATTATGTTTAAAATGTAATATCCTATAAATTATTACTTATTATGAACGAAAAATAATATTATTATTATTATACTAAGCATTTATACTTGCATAATATACATACTGTATAATTATTATGTAATCGTGCAGTAATTTGTTACTAATATGTTTCGAGATTAATTTTAATCATACAAAAACTGAGTGATTAAAGAATATTCACTCTAATAAATAATGATATACAATTTTCTATAGTAAATTTATTGAAAAAATAAAACAAGACTTTTGTCTTTATTGAATAATACGTTCAATACTACTTTCATAATACTTTGCATCAAAAAATAATTTACTCGTCTAACAAAGTTATTTTAAACTATGTCACATTAACAATATTTTAACTTTAAATAAAACAAACAATATTTATATATTTTCACATTTAAAAAAATAGTTTTAAATCTCAACATCGATACTTTTGAAATGAAATAAATTGCAAAAATATAGTATTATTTATACATCAATCATAGTCAAGAAGTATTCAAAGTTAATGAAATATATAGGTATTAGTGCAAAGCAATAGCGTATTTTCAATTTTTTTGTGGGAGTTTTAAATTTTTCTAAAAAAAAGTGATTTTATAATATTTTACAAAATACACATAGGTATGATTTAATAATTTTATTATTCTATTATTATAATAAATACTAATTAAAAACAATTTACTACCACATGAAATAAAATAATGTTCTTTATCTATGTACCTTCGTATCAAATCATTTATGACTTTTGAACCTATTTTTTCTTCTAAGGGGTACCGACCACCTCCCCTTCAAAAATTTACTACTGGGATAAATTAACGCAATGGCAAAGTAACCCAATGGTTTTATAATATGCAAAACACCGCTATAAAAACTTCAGAAATATATTAATAGGTATTTCATTTTATATTTTGTATTTAAACCTAACCGGATCATACCGACCACCGGGCTCTTGTCTAAATAAATACATGACTCTACGCGATGATATTGAATTATTTTAGCTACGTCAGCAGTTATCAAATGATAATTTCACAGATAACACGGCTTTCTCAGCACCAAAATGTAGGCCCGTTTTTAAGTGCAAGAGTGTTGAAACAATATTTTTCTCGAAATATTAGATTGGGACTGTTTGTGTTATTTTGTTTTTTAATCGACTAAACTGATTTGACACCCAATCTAATAGTACAAAATAACGACGCGATTGGATTTGGAGCACATTTTTAGTGTAAAATTAGTAAAATATATATACGAAATGTATTCTCTTTAAATCTCTATGTAAACATATGATAACGTTTTAAGATCGTGAAATAAAAATATTTTTGAAATATAAAACCCTAGTGCACCTACATTGCGTGTAAATATAACTTCAGCACTATTCACTCGTATTGTAGTTATCAAAAAAATTATTTTTTTTACTTTATTTCTAAATTACGTACCAACCCACTAGAAACCCGAGTATGTTTTACTTATGTAAGAGTTCAAAAACGACCACAACATGAGAGTGGCCAGACGCTAGCGATAACAATTGTTCATATTATAATAATATTGTATCGGAGTTCAGACGGTTGTTATTATGTTTCATTTTACAGCTCAATAACAATAATCAATACCACCGCTTCAGGTAACATAATAAGACCGATAAAGACACCGAACGTGCCAGACCTCCGATCGGTTTTCCGTTCCAGCTATTCGGTGTACAGCGATTTATATTTTAATCATGATTTGACCGCTGCCGTTGGTGTGTGAGTCACTTAATATAATAATAATAATAATAATAATAATATATTCACAGAACAGATTGATGGAATTTAATCTAAAAGATCTTCAACAATAACGGTCATAATAATTATTAATTTTCATATGTTAAAAAATATTTTAATTAATAAAGTTTGAAATCTCCGATTTAATCCAGGTATTCCTTGATAAGTCAAGGGCTTTTAAGAAAGCTGCGTATCAAATCAAAATCTAATTCTAATCAAATTCGATACGAATTCGTTCCGTAATACCATTTATTGAATTGGTATTATTTAACATGTATACATACAACTCAAGTTTAAAAAAGTTAAGCAATTTACTGAATCGATGTAGTTTTGCACGATTAACAGTAAGACATCACTTAACCATGCATAATCACGTGCTGGTAAATAATTAAATTGGACGGTCGTCTAAACTCGAAGACACGAAAATAACGTCTCATCATTCAATGTGATTCGGGTAGATTTAATAACATTGTTTAATATGCACTGTATTTGATACGTTAATCTTATTTATGTTTAGCACTCGGAGAATACCTACCCAACGTTTCAAAATCGAAGTACGAAAAACGTATAGAAAATGCGTATTTTTCAATTATTTATTATTGCTTTACTATCGTGACAATTAACGTTTAAATTTCAACAAAACGAAACATTCGTAATCAATAGGTGAATTTTTCCCTCATCGCCCAAATAATCGTGCATTCCTGAGGCGCAGGTAATATTACCATACGAGTTAATATATGATATGTGAAAAAATAATCACACGTACCTACCATGAACCCATAGACCATGGGTCGACAACCTTTTGAACCACGTGGGCCATTTTATTTTTCAAATGTTTATCAAGGATCATATTAAAAACAATTTTTTACATATGATATATACTAATAATTGTATTGCTATTATATTTGATTATTTTACATAAATATATGAGTGTAAAAATACGAATGTTACTGGAAAAAATTGCTTTTAAGAATAAATTTAATTTTTTGACAAATTAAACATAATGATTTACCTTTGTTTTCGACGAAAAAGTATAAATCAACCCAAGAATTATTAAAAAAACGATATTTATCACAAATTTTTCTTTTTTTAGTCGCCATAATGTTTGGCTTTATTTGTAAAATGAAATTATTACAAACACAAATAGTTACACGTACGGGCGTAATCACGGTGTTATACTAATTACTACAAACGCAAAGTAACTATGACCATAGATTAAATATATTTAAAATTTTAATTTTTAAATACATATAACTTATATGTATATAAGTTAAAGTAAATTAAATATACTTATATGATATAAGTATATTTAATTTATCCTATGACTGAGCAGTGCAGCCATCATTATCTTCGACTCCAATCAGATAGTAATAACAATTTTATTCATAAAGAAAAAAGAATTGAATAGTTTGAAAATTGTATGAAAAATTTATTGAACAAAAATAAAACACAAAAAATAACCACCTTAGTGCAGGCAATCAAAAATTGCTTCGCGGGCCGTGGGTTGCCGACCCCTTTCATAGACACATTAAGATATAATATGTTTATGCATGAGCCCGATTAGGTGATTTTTTTCTCAGCGCTGGTGCGCGCACGCATATTCGATTTGTTTATTAACGCACAAAGTTCTGCACGGTACTGAAAACCGTCACGGCCGGAAGCCCCAGTCGTTCGCCGCTAAGGCCGGACCGCGGATCATAGGCGGATATCAGGGGGGGCTTAGACCCCCAAATATTTTAATAGCCCCCCCCCAAAATCGTTAAAAATTTTATTCGTTGCTTTTATAATTTATTTATAATTATCTGTTCATTTTTTTTGAAAATCGTAAAATAAGAAATAATAAAAAACTATTTACAATGGCATTAACAACACCAATTACATAGTTTAGCTACTTGCGAAAGAAGTTTCAGTGCAATGAAAAAATAAAAACTTGGTTAAGGACATTGTTGGTACAAGATAGGTTCAGCAATCTTTCAATGCTATATATTGAAAAAGATGTATCGAAAAATATAAAAAGCGATGATATTTTAAGTATCTTTGCTAATGCAAACAGTTATTTGTCATTAAAATAAAATATTAATTATTTTTAAATATGCGTTATTTAGTGTTTTTTTTTTTTTTAATACTATTTAAACATATCTATATTTTTAATGGTAATAAGTTTTACTTGTGTATGGGAAGGGGTGTGGGGGGCGAAGCCCCTGCGGGTTATTTTACATTGAATTATTATAGCCCCTCCCCAAAAAAAAAATTCAACCAAATGTCCGCCTGTGCCGCGGATCGAATTATTTGTTTACGCCGTACGTCAGTACCGATCTGTCGCCCATCGATTGTTAAGCATTATTTGCACGACCGTTGGGCTGACCGATGAACCGCGTGATAAGCGCCGCGTACGTGCAATCACCCGCTGGACACGTGACGAGATAACGCCGCCGCCGACGAGAATTGTAATAATAATAATAGTAATGAACACAGATTACGTTTTTATCGTTGAAGGACGTAATCTGTACTGCGGTTTGGTGAACAATACGAACTATGCATAACAATAATAATTGTTGCCGGTTCGGAGCACGCGGAGACCCGAAACGAACGGCGAACGCAAACGATATTCGCAAATCGGTTTACGGAACGCGCATGAGACGGTACCGCCATTTGCGTGTCCGCTTCGTCCGTTCGGGCGGCCGCGAGCGGAGGAGCTGACCGTAAAGCTCCCGGACGGTTATTATAAATAGAAGAAAACCAATTACGTCACGCTCTCGCGTTCCGCCCTCCCGTCCGTTATCGTTTCGCTCTCCATCTCCCGACATTTACCGACGCCGTCGTCGCCCGTAACATTTGATTTTCCGGCTCTCGGCGGTGGTACAATCGCAAACGTCGTTCGACTTCATCCGACTTCGACCCGCCGTCTGGAGTTCTTTTCGTGGGCGAGTTGGATACCGGCCGTCGCGCCACCGTTTAACGTTCGCTCTGACGACGAGCTTGCGCCGCCGCGACTAATGCGACCTTTGCGGCCTTCGTCCAGCCATGTCGAAAATGAAAAACACGAGCAGCGCCGGTCAACGGCTGGAGTACTATCACAAAGTGGTCCACAACATCATACTGTGCCATCAAGTGAGTAACTTTCAGCAACGGTCAGGTTAATAAATGGTGACGGTACAGAATAAGATGAATATTTTATTTTATATAAGTTACTTTGAGTGTTGTCGTCATCATGATCATCATCATTGTATCACCTTTCAGTGTCCACCTGTAATGATTGTGAGAACAGTACTGCTACAGCTATAGCTGTTACTCTAAATGTTTAACCGTTTATCGGTAAACCTGAAATTATATTATTTCATCTTTTAAACAATGATTGACATTTGTTGACCAACACGTCATTTATCCTGCTGTTGTCAAATTATCAGTTTACAAAACATTCAGATGCTATAAAAATAAATAATTAGTAATTGTTATATAGTTGTAATTTTATCATCAAAAGTAGTGCAAAACTTTGAAAAAAGTATTTATAAATTTAAATTAACATTTGTAAATAATTTTTAATTTTGTTTGAATTAAAAAATGTAGTTTCCTTAAATCTTATATATATATATATATATATATATATACTAACTTATTTAATTTTCTATTAGTATAATAAATTTTAATAATATTTAAATTAAAAAAAGATTCAATGTAGGTACCTATTAAGAATTTGTTTTGTGATTAACGAGAATAAGTATATTATTTTAAATAAATTTCTATGTTAGTTAATATTCAATTAAATTTTATAGAATCCAGTTACTGGCCTATTTCCAGCTAGCCCTACCGATTCACATGCATGGATCCGAGACAATGTGTATACAGTTTTAGCTGTATGGGGTTTATCAATGGCTTGTAAAAAAATGGCCGATATGGATGAAGATCGTGCAAAAACTTATGAACTTGAACAGGTACTTAAATGTTTATTGTGATTGCTTGTACACCTATAATTATGAAGTATGATAAATATTATTTTCATAGACAAATTTATTTTGTTTGCAATGCAATTTTTATTATATAATAACAATAGTTATAATAATTAATCCTAAAATTATGTGTCACAATCATTTTAAATATATCAACTATCATCAATAATATTGAGAGTTAATTAAAACTAAAATATAATTTATTGTATATTTGGTAATTGATTATATTTTAGTAACAAATAGGTTTTTTTTTAGTTGTAGGCTACATTATTACTTATTTGGTTTTTAAAGAAATGTATATATTATTTAATTAAATTGTATTTGTTTAAAAGTTAAACTATTACTTATTTTAACTGCAACATCATATTAAATTTAATGAAAAATAATAAAACTTGTACATTATTTTCAGAGTTGTGTTAAATTAATGCGTGGATTGTTAATGGCTATGATGCAGCAAAAAGATAAAATTGAGTTATTTAAAGTTTCACAAAATCCTCTACATTCATTGCATGCTAAATATAGTTCATCAACTGGTCAAACAGTTGTAAGTGATAATGAATGGGGACATTTACAAATTGATGCTATATCATTGTATTTGCTTATATTGGCGCAGATGACAGCATCAGGTAATTTTTACATTTTAACTATTAAAAAGTTAATTTTTATCATAAGAATAAACATTTTAAACAAAATTGAAATTGTAAATTTTTAGTACTTTACTAAGTTATTAGTTTTTAAAGTTTGATAACACTTAGAAACTGAAATAATTTTAAAGATATTGTTTCTACAAAAAAATCATTGATTATTAATCAATTTTAATAATAATTTTGTGATATAAATTGTAATATTTATTTTATTTATTCTATTTTAGGTCTTCAAATTGTTTTCAACTTGGATGAAGTGTCTTTTGTTCAGAACTTAGTATTTTATATTGAGTCAGCATATTGTATACCTGTAAGTTAAATTTCTACTCCTTAAATGATAATAAAATTGTATTTTATACTATTTTGTATATCAATTGTAGGATTATGGTGTGTGGGAACGTGGTGATAAATCAAATCATGGTCTGCCTGAACTTAATGCCAGTAGTATAGGAATGGCCAAAGCTGCCCTGGAAGCTATGAATGATTTGGATTTATTTGGAGCTCGAGGTGGACCATTTTCAGTAATACATATACTGTCTGATGAAGCACAAAAATGTCATGCAGTGTTACAAGTTAGTAATTACAGATTCTTTGCCATTTTTCTTTTTAAACTTTTCTTTTCCATCCATACGGTGTTAATTTTTTAGATTAAAAATGCCTATTACCTCTTACTGACGTCAAATTCTTTAAATCTCCACTTCAACAGTCCATTTTCTTTTTTTCTATGTTTCTCATTTATTATACTTGTATTTTGATTTTAGACCAGCCTAAATTAATTCTATGTCTTTTTTTTATTATTTTAACTTTGAGATACCTTGTTACATTTCTAATATAAAGATTTTTTTTAGTCGATGTTACCCAGAGAATCAAATTCAAAAGAATTAGACAGTAGCCTCTTGTCAATTATTAGTTTTCCAGCTTTTTCAGTTGATGATCCACAGTTGATTCAGCTTACAAGAAATGCTATTGTTTCAAATTTGATGGGAAAATATGGTTGCAAACGATTTTTAAGAGATGGCCATAAAACTCCACGTGAAGTATAGCTAAATTAGTTTAAGAATATTTATCTAGAAATAACATATGCATCTTGTCAGGATCCTAATAGACTTCATTATGATCTTCATGAACTGAGAGTGTTCGAAAAAATTGAATGTGAATGGCCACTATTTTATTGCTATCTTATATTAGATTATTGTTTTCAAAACGACATGGAGACTGCTAATCAATATGTTGATGCTTTAGAAAAGGTAAGAATAATAATTATATATTTAAATATTGTAAATCATACATATGAATATAAATACATTCTAGGTAATGATTAATTCTGAAGAAAATATAAAATTAGTTCCTGAATTGTATGCACTCAAAAATGAAAATATAAAAGCAGAAATTGAAAATCCAGGTAGTCAAAGTCGAGTAGCATTAGGAAGATGTCCTTTTCTATGGGCACAATCCCTTTATATGCTTGGAAAACTTTTACAAGAAGTAAAAAACTTATTCTTAATAAATTATAACTATACTTAACTTTATCAAATATCAATTTTTTTTATTTAGAACTTTCTTGCTGTGGGTGAATTAGATCCACTAAATAGAAGACTTTGTTTAGAAAAAAAACCAGATGTTGTTGTACAAGTTGTTGTTTTGGCAGAAGACAATACTATTCGTGATTTACTTCTTCAACATGATATTGTTGTTCAAACTATAAGTGAGGTTTCACCTATTGAAGTTCAACCATCAACCGTTCTTAGTCATCTTTATACATACTTGGGTAAGTTATTTATTACTTTAGACTTTTTTTTTTTTATCAATCACATTATCTTATATTTATTTCACTATTTTTTTTATTTTTTTTTTTTTTTTTATGAAAATTTTATGTTTAATTTACTTATCATTTTGATTTGATAGTATGCAATATTTATATATTTTAAATTAGTAGCATTGTTCTGATGAATGCTTATTATTTATTTAATTTTTGATGTTTATTAGTTCTGTAGACTCTATTTTTGTTGTAATATGTAGTGATCAGTTCTTATTTATCGAATTGTTTCTAACCTTCAATTATTCATTCAAAGTATACCATATATTGAACTGTAGAAAAATTATAGGCTTTCATATTCTCTTTGTTTGTATTATCTTTGTCTATAGGTCGAAATGAAAAACTTGGACTGTCTGGACGAAAATCACGTGATGTAGGAATTTTAAGTACCAGCAAATTGTACACTCTACAAGATCGAATATTTGCCTTCACACCACAGGTACGAAAAAAAATCTTTCCAAGTGTGAATATTTGTATTTATTTTTAATACTTAAGTAATTAATAATATAAAAATAGTAAATTAATTTATAATATATTATAATTTTAATTTTTGTATAATATTAGGTAGTCTAAAAAATGTTTATTTTATCATTGAAATTTATTAATAATATCATTATTTTTAAGAGTATATTCAACTTTTTAAATTGTTTGAAATTTATTTATCTTGATAAAGTATTAAATTTAAAATGTCCTAAATAATGTCAATATACAGATTACAGATCGCCATCGATATTACATTGCATCTGACAATAATTTGATGATAGATTTATTTAAGAACGAAATTAACTTCTTAAAATCTAGTTGGCAAAATTTATTAGGCCGGCCCACAGTTGTTATTGTAATAAAAAAACTTCATTATGGTATTTATTGTTTTTAATTATTTGAAAGTATTTCATTGTGTTAACATTAAATTATAAAAAGTATACTAAAAAAGTACAAAAGTAACTATATATAATTAATTAATACAGTTCGAGTTTTGATTTAATTTTTTAAAAAAAACTACTAACAAATTATGTATAATACTTTATTATTGTAGTATAATGTAATAATTTATAGTATATTAGTATATTAAACAACTGATCAATAATAGTAACTACATTTTTAATTAATATTTTATCTTTAGTTTTAATTGTTTATTATTATGATTTTTGTTTGGTTATTTTCTAGTTTAACATAAAAACTAAAATTAATGATTAAGCAAATGAAAGATTTTGTTAAAATTAAAATTTAATTTTGAATTAATAATCTTAAAATGATTAAGTTGGATTATCAGTTATTACTGAATATATTTTTTACTTTTTTATCCACATTGCTCTAAAAAATGTATACTTATTTTCAAATATTGATACAGCTAAAAAAATATATAGAATCAACTGTAGTTATTCTAAATTTTGTATCCAATTTTAATAGTTTATAATTTTAGTTAAGTTATGGTTTAATTTTTTTATTATAAAAGTATTATTACTATTATATTTTTATTTGAAAGGTTAATATTTTTATTTTTGGGTTGACCTTCATAAGATAAAATATTTAAAAATGTTTCATTTTAAATTTTGATTTGTATATTTACTATTTAGTCAAAAAATTAGTGCTATCATTAGGTATTATTTTTCAGTAGACACTTGATTTGGATCAATATTATATGGGCAATGATATCGAATTATTAGCAAACAATATAATGATGGACTTAGCATTTTTGACAATGAGTTGGAAGCATATGTTAGGTCGTCCAACATACACTATAATTGCTTCTTCTGATTTTGTAGGTAAGGTCAATGTGTATAATATATACAGAAATATCTATATTATTCGGTGTAAATTATTTTTTAAAACAAATACTTTATAAAAATGATTGGTACTTCATAAATTATAAAGATCTCAAACGTTATTTTTGTCTTGTTTGTTTTGCATGGCTTAATCAATTAGTAATTAATATTTATTAAATTACTGTCAGACTTATTTATTTGAAATATTTACATACTTATTCCTTTTTTATAGATCAAGGTAAAATTCCACTAGCTATGATAACAACAATAAAAAAATTAAAAAGTGGTTACATTAATGGAACTCGGTAATATATGATATATATTTTTAAGTTTATAACATATTAATATTGTATTTTATTTTCAGAGTAACATTGGGTAACCTCAATGGCTTCCTTAGTACTTCTTGTGTTACGAATCTTAGTTTCTTAGGTAGTCAAGAAATTGGAATGCCATATAGTTAGTAATTATTAACAATCTGTATTTATCTTATTATAATTCTTAACTTTTGATTTTTAGAACTTAATACGGAAGTTGAGCAATACTTAGATCAACATATTGTCAAAAGTTTTACAAATCAATCTACTCTACTGACACGTATGCCTAATAAAAACACGAAAGTAAAACGAAAAATGTCTGTCAAAGGAGCTATTAAAAAAACAAGATCTTTTATGCTCGATGGTAATGATATTATATAGTTATTGAATTTTAATAGTTTTATTTATATTTCTTATTACCTATTATATTATAAATAGCCGAAGAACGGCGTGTTCAAGTAGCTGAAACACAAACTGCTTTAAATGTATTGGAACAAAGAAGTCCATCTCCTGAAAATAATTCATTGGTGACAGCTAAAAAAGAACATCATCGACCACGACTTCATAGTCGATTTAAGTAATTTTTATATTGGTTGCATTTATTATGTTTCTTGAGATAAAATGAATAATTAATTAATAAATAACATAAAATTAGGGCAAGTTCAGAATTGTTGTATGCTGAAGCCGAATTAGAAGGCATTTTGTCCATGTTAAGTGAGTCAGACTTATTAGAAGAAAAAGGAGATATTTTACAATACTTAGTAGATACATATGGTTTAGAATATGATACAGGTAGTTGAAAATATAATTTAACAAAATTAGATTAGTTAATGATGTTTAATTAATCATCTTACTATAGGAATGAAAGAGGATGGTAAACCAGTTTTAGTTAAAGACTTGTTAAAGTTACTTTATGAAAAAGCATGTCAACAAAATCTTTGGGGATTAGTCAGACATACAGCAGGCATGTTAGGAAAGCGCGTGGAAGATTTAGCCAAGGCTTTAACAGATCTTTTGGTTCGCCAAAAACAGGTAAAATAATAAAAAAAAATGATATATCGCTTTAAACAATTTATTTCCAAATTACTAATACTTTTACAATTACACTCTTATGATAATTAAATCCTTATAAATATAACATTATCTCATTATGTACAATAAATTTTAATATTTTTTATTTAAGGTAACTATCGGTATGCCCCCATTTAATGAACATACAATATCAACACCATTACCTGAAGGTGAACTTCGACAAGTAATTCACGATGCGTATGGAGATGATGAGAGTACAGCTATGTTAACACAAGTATTGATTGGGTCAATGAAAAATTTAGAAAAATACTAATCCCATCAATTCTCTACAAAAAACATTTAGGAACTTTTAGTTTATTTAGCTATGTTCGTACGAACCGAACCACAGCTGTTTTTGGAAATGTTAAGACTTCGTGTTGGTTTAATCATTCAAGTTATGGCTGGTGAATTATCTAGAACGCTAAACTGTTCGGGAGAAGAAGGTTCTGAACATTTATTTAATTTATCACCGTTTGAAATGAAAAATTTACTACACCATATCATGAGTGGAAAGGAATTTATATTGAGTAGTGGTAAATTATATGATTTTATACTTCAAATGCAACTATAATAGTTAATTTAATAAAATGTAATTTTAGTCGGACGAGGTAATTTTTCAGTAATTAGTTACAAGTCAAGCCATGTCAGCAAGGTAATTATTTACCTAGTATTAATTTACTTAAATTTTAAGTAATACTTATTTTAAACATTAGAAAAGCCAAATTGGAGGGCTTTTATTAGCTGACAAGGTAGATGTGAGTAATGAAGTACTGGAAAGTGATCGACAAGGCCAATGGTTACGTCGCAGGCGTTTAGATGGAGCACTAAACAGAGTTCCTCGAGAATTTTATAAACGTGTTTGGATTATCTTGGAAAAAGTATAAATAATTCAGCATAAAAAATATTTTTGTTTTAATTAATTATTTCCCTTATCCAGTGTTGTGGAATAGCAATTGATGGAAAACTTTTATCGCAAAATCTTACTCAAGAGGTATATATTTGTATTCAATATTTTTGATTATTTATCTAATATCTAATAATTAAATTTTACTTATCTTAGATGACTTCTGGCGAATTGAAATTCGCATTAGCTGTAGAAACTGTATTGAACTGGATCCCACATCCAGAGTATCGGCAATTGATAGTTGAAACGTTGATGATATTTGCATTGTATGCTGAAAATGAAATTTCACCAAGGCCCTCCCAAGAAATTATAACAATTGAAGATTTTGTACATAAAGCAAACGAATTATTTCTACAAGATCAGGTACGAAGTTAACCCTTCTCCCTTAATTTTTAGTTTTTGTAAATTAACATATACTTGTTTAAAAACAGATGGCTGTTAATGGAGATGCTACTCTCTGTTGTGCGAAAATGCATAAAGAAATGACTCAATCTGGTACACTCCTATGTGGAGGAGCGTCATATATTTGTCAACATTTCTATGACAGTGCTCCTAGTGGTAGCTATGGAACCATGTCATATATTATCAGAGCAATCGCTTCAATCTTGGAAGCATCCCTTGGACTAACTGATGTTGACTGTTCCATTTCATAATTCATTGGATTTTATTCTATTACTCTCTTAATTTTTTATAGTGTGAAATAATTATTGCTAGTTGTTTTTATTTTTAGTTATAATCAAGTAATCATTATTTTTGATTTATTACAAAGACAAATTTCTATAATATTATTTACAACTCATTATTTTTGATTTATTGCAAAGACAAATTTCTATAATATTATTTACGCATTCAATTGTTATTGTTTTATTAATATTATATTGTAAATTCAATAATTTTAAGTGTATCTCAATTAATGATTTAGTGACTGATTGTTTTAGTAATGAATGTAATACAGATAATTTTATTTATATTTTTCCTAATCACAATATAATTAAGTTTATAGTACAATACTGTTAAATTGTTAACGTATAATATAATAAAATAAAATATATGGCAGTGATCACCAAATATATAATTTGTCAAAAAATTGTTTGCATTATAATATGTTAAAAATATTTCATTTAAATTTTGATGGGCCCTAAAAATATTCAAAATTTCCAATATAACTTTTAAAAAATAATAATAGGTATATGTATACCCCTGGTATACGATATAATTTATTTATTAATAAGATACTATATATCATATTTAATAAATTAGAATGGATAATTGATTTTTAAACATTGTGTTTTAAATATTAAATACTGAGGTATTCTAAAACTACAATTTTTAAACATCAAAATAAACTATTAATGTCTGACTAATTATAATAATGAAAATAATAAATATTTTTGGCTCGATTAAAAGCTCATTTTATAATTGCACAATCTAGTTAATACTATTAAATTGATGAGTTGGTCTTAATGAAGACTATGAAGAGACTGTTGAATGAACAAACTACAATAAAATAATTTAATTATAAGTGCATAAATAGTTTTATTAATAATACATTCAAACAATTCTATACTAAAAAAAAAAAAATTACTAATATTATAAACTTATTCTAACCAAACACTAAATTGAATTGTTAAGTATATTTTATAATCTAAACTTCTAGTTATTTAACATGGTTAAAAAAAAAATACTCAAAGAATTACTTTATTTATATCTAAACAACATCATTTTGATTCTACATAAAAAAAAATGATTACGTTTATTTGTAATATTTAAATGGCACACTGACTTAATACAATAACTAAATAAGATCTATTTTCCATGAATTATCTTCAACTTCAAGTACTGAAATTTTTCTTCTAAATAATAAACTGGCTTACCTTAAATTATTTGCAGATAATTACGTTTTCTTTACTGATGAATGTGAATCAATAATAAATATATAAAATATATTTCATTTTAATTTTGAATACCTATCTAACAATTAATAATTATTAAATAATTATTAATTGTTAGGTTAAATTTTAACCTATGACTCTGAGTATAGCATACAAACAACTAATATTACTTTTACGAGGTAAACAATGCAAAAATGTATTTATTTAAGTATTGATAATATGTAGATATATTAAGAACACAACATATATTACTAATACAACTGTCAAAGTGTGAATAACTAAACAATTATAACATATGATAGGTATCTTATAATAATTTTGATTACCTACTTATAAATGATAATGAAACATATAATTTATATCGATGACCAACATAAAATACTAAAAATGTATAATAATTACTAGTTTAGATTTTCAGATACTATAAACAATAGATAAGACTTATATGATTAAAATAATATCTAAAAGTATAATTCAGTTTACATATAACAAATGTGTGGTTGGTTTTTAATTTTAATTTTGATAACTCATCATTGATAATTAATTAATAATTATCATTAAAGCATAACTTAATGAGTATATTGTATACCTACTAATCATATATTGTTTTTGAGTAGTATAAATTTCAAATGTTTAAGTTTTTAATAATATTATATAATGGTTAATACTTATCATATAATATATTACCTATTATATATTATATATTATATATTAATGTGCACATATATTAAAAACATTCAGATATATTCTTAGAATTTTTAAAGCTAAATTATAAATGATTGATGTTACATACTTATAACATACTGGTATTTTATTAGAATTTTGAAAATGTATTAATTATCAATAGATTAGTATGTAATTGATGTTTTGCTTTACTCACAGCACTGAATGATTTTTTTAAGTAATGATTACAAATTAAAATGTTCAAATATTTGGTTTGAAAAATACTGACAATATTAATTAGTAATGTTACCTTTTGTTTCATTTAAATTTTAAAAATAGTTCTGCATGAAATTATTTCAAATAACGATGGGCATGAAAGTAGATAGGAAAGCAGATAAGTATTAGTTTTTTTTTTTTTTTTAACGGTAAAATTATGGATGCATTTAATATTTTTGAAAAACATTCCTACATTGATTGATATATTATTTATATTAAAAATATTATTTAATTTTATTTCATATTCGCCTGTGTCGTAATTGATTATAATGTATAATAATAGATTTCTCAGTTACCCTTTATCCCACACCTTTGGCTAGGTATAAATTTATCTCATTCAGACTAGCTAATATGTTGCGATATAAAAAATTAATTTCAGTTCATAATATTAACTTTTTTTAGGGAATTTTATTTCGGTTCATTTTTAGAATAGGTAATTTGAGATAAATGAAAATCGAAAAAAATGTGAGATTTTTCGTTTTAAAACTATTTTACATAAACACGAGTGGTCCCACTTCTCTACATTATGTATGTATAATGTATATAAGCGTATTGTAGTTTTTTAATATTTAGGGGTACATCCCATTTTTTCTTTGATTGTTGCTTAATTACAAAATGTTATGAAAAACTCAGACTCCATGATCACGGATTTCCTTTGACTTCGAATCGAAGTTATTTCGGCCGATTTAATGATTAACAACGCGTTAAATGTTATTATTCAAAAAAGATTCATTGACAATTGTAATATTCATGATAAGGAAAAAAAAATTCGGTTTTCGACACGTTTGAGTATAAATATTATAACACCACTACAACAGATATAATAAAATATTTATAAAGTTAAATATAATCTATCTTGTCACTGTGCTACTTTTTAACATGGTAAACGTATATAACATATAGGTATATCGCATATATCATAAATCGTATTACTATCAGTACGCGGATCTTTTATTTAATAGTTTGAGTATTTATCAATCATCATCAAATATTCTTAGTATTTTTTATCCAGTTGAAAATATACAAATATTTTTAAACGAATTTATAATTATGAGGATGTGAAATCTGTATAATGGTATAATTTGTTTAAAAATGTATGAGATTATAACAATAAATATGTTTACTTTTTTATTATTGTGATTTTCGTGGTTATTGTACCTTTATATATATATATGTATATATACGATCAATGTCAAATATAAACATATATAAAACTAATTTCATTGTAAATGAGCTGATACTATTTTTGAAATAAATAAATAAAAAAAAAAAACATTTGCAACGATTTTGTTACCTATGGATTTCGAAACGGTTTCTCTTACAATCCAATAAAATACAAGATATTTTCTGTCGTATTATCGTTTTATATTTAAAATTTATTCTTTAATCCTTTAATTGGGTAAAATGTTGTTTTATTGTTTATTGGAAATCCGAAAAAATTTAGATAACTATCTACTCTGCGTTGCACCATCATGAAAAATGTATACAAAACATTAACTTTAAAATGTATACAATTATTATAATTCATATCATATAATATAAATTGATAATTGATTGTGTCTTAAGTGTATTAAATTCCGATTTCCCTGTTGATTTATCTGTGACTACATAATGTAGTTAAGCGCATTTATTGCATATGTCTGAGTAGAGTATTCCGATTGAGTTATTTTGAACATTGAATTTTGTTTATTCGAAATACTTTTTTTAAACGATCGTTATTTTAAATTTTTTTACTTTGATTAGGTACATTCGGTTTTTGTGAATTGCAGCCCAATTATTTTAATGAAATACAAGTTGCGGCCTGGGTTTATTAGAAGGAGGTATGGACTACGACCACACAATAATGTATACCATAAAAAAAAAATATATATTGAAAAAAATATTTAAGGTAATTTATTTAAATTAATTAACAATATTACGTATTTTACAAATATTTTATAAATATTCAAATAAAATTAATCAAATTTGTCAGGAATAAAATTAATTATAATATAATATAACATTTCAAATGTTCGAATAAATAATATTGTATTATTGTTTTTAATATATAATACAATAGTATTAAAAAATAAAAGGATTCGTAAAAATAATATTGTTTTGTCGTTTTTTATTTATTTATTTTTTATAATTATTGTTTTGGCAAAAATTTAAAACTTAATGATTTTACTTAATCAAAATTTTCTAATTATTTTAGCTCGCTCTTTGTCATCTATATTCTTTAATAAACGTTTCTTTATCACGCATTTTTTTTGTTTTTTACATCTTTAATCAGTGGCGGTTTCATGGAAGGGGGGGGGGGGCTATAGGGGATCTAGACCCTCTAGGTCCCGATTTTAAACTGTAAAATATTATTCGCTCGTGACGCTCGAGGATAAAACGCTATGTTATTTATTTATTCGTTTATAATCATTACATTTAAAAAAATAAGAATTAAATTATAACTAATAAATGATTAATAGGTTAAACATTAAGTGGTTTAACATATTTTAAGATAATACCAAAGGGCCCTCAGAATAAATTTTAAAAACCACCACTGCATTTAGCTATGCATTTTTATGTCACAGGTATATAGGTAATGATAATTACTCAGGCCGCAACTAACCTAGAGTTAAAATATTGTCGGGTCGGATCTCCAACATCGCAAACGACACGCAGGGCCGCAACTCACTCATAGCCGGTCCATTGTTAAAATGTTTTATTTTTATGTAGTCATTTGATTTTAATTGATCCAACACAGAGAATGTTTTATAATGTATTAAAATGTTACATTGTCGCACTAGATTACTCTTTGTATAGTTAAATTATATTTCAGGGAAATGTTATCAGTTATTATATTATATGTAAACTAAACATTTATATTTATATATTACTTGAATGAGTACTAACAGTTATGTAAAATCATCACGAAAACCAA